AAAACCATTCTTCATTACTTCATTACCCTTTCTAAAACTATTCCCACTCCCAGCCATCCCTCCTCCCTACCATCCCCCTCCTCCCCCCGTCAACCCACTCTGCATTCTCCCACCATCTTTTCTACTAAAGCAAGAGGACCTTACCTATCATCCTAGATTATAACTTCCTATATTTCACATTCAATCCAGATGTTTCCCATTTTGCATAGTATAGCCCCATCTTGTCTTCCTGCATGTGATAGAGTTTTTCCATCCTACTAATCTGGTTCACTCTATCTACCCAGTCTTCCTCCTTCGGCACCTCTGCTTTCCGCCAGAACTTGAGTATCAAACCTTTTGCAGCATTTAGTACCATATACCTGATTCTTTATATTTATTTACTGATAGCTCCATACTATGTAAAAGACAGATCGTTGGATCCAACCCTATATCAATCTCAGTTATCATCGCAATCAAATAAATGATTAACTTCCAGAATACTTGAATTTTTGGACATTCCCACCATATGTGAAACACCGTGCCCATCCCTCCACACCCCCGCCAACACCACGGTGAATTCTCCCCACTCCTCTTGTGCTCAATGTTCCGTGTAATGTGCCATCTTGTCAAACACTTATAGTTTATTTCCACCTCTCTCATACTTACATTCTCGTGAATTAATCTATATATCTTTTTTTGTTTATCCTCATCTATAACCACCCCCATATCTCTTTCCCATTTTGTTATATAAATTGGCTTTGTGTTTGTGTCTAATTCAGTTAGTATTTTATATACTTTGGCAATACCGTGCTTCCCATCCCCTCGTGATTCCAACAACCTTTTGAACAGATTCCAATCCTTTTTAGATCTCAAGGGTTTCAGGAGATTCCCAATAAAACATTTTAATTCATGATAGCACCACTCATCTATCCTAGTGAAAATCTTTCCCTTTTTCTCTTACAAGTCCTTAAGTGGTCTCAATTCCCCCTCCACCATTATATCTCTCAATTGGACATCCTCCTTTTTAAACCATTTCCCTGTTATCTCTTCTCTACTTGGAGGGAAAAACTCTGTGTTTCCAAGTGGCATTAATATAGAATTGAAATCCCACTTCATATTTTTGTGAAGATTATCCCAGACCCTTAAAACATTTAAAGTGTATAAGCTTGTGCTACCTTTTATTCCTCTATACTTTGCTGGCACCCATATAATTTTACTCAAATTAGTTCCACTGATTTCTTTTTCAATTTTATCCCAACTTTTCCCTTTTAAATTATACGTCTAATCATAAATTCTTGCTAAAATTGCTGCTTTGTAATATCTTTTAAAATCTGGCACTCCCAAACCACCTCTCTCTTTATTCCTACTTAAAAATTCATAGGATATTCTTGGGTTTTTATTCCTCCATATATATCTTATTCTTTTTATTGTCCTAAAGAAAGCTTCTGGGAGTTTAATTGGAATCATTTGAAATCTTTATAGTATTTTGGGTACAATTACCATTTTTACCAGGTTTATGCATCCTATCCATGATGGGTTTCCTCCTGCTAATGTTTTTAATTTCTCCTTAATTTTGTTTAACAGTGAAATATAGTTTAGTTTATATAAATACTTATATAAAGCAGTGAGTTTTACTCCAGAGTGTTTTATATCTCTTTCTCTCCATATAAAGGGGAATTCCTTTTGTATTTTTTCTTTTTCACTTTTTGGAATATTAATGTTTAGAATCTCAGTTTTTGTTGGATTAATTTTTAAGTTTGATAGTTCTCCATATTCCTTCATTATCTTCATTAAATTTGGGAGTGTTATCCTGGGGTTCCCCACATACAATAAGTCATACGCAAAGGCAGCCACTTTGTGTTCTGTAGTTTCTATCTGAATTCCCTTTACATCCCTATTTTTCCTTATTGTTGACAACAAGGGTTCCAATGACAGAACATACAACAATGGGGACAGTGGACAGCCCTGTCTTGTTCCATTTGACATCCCAGTGGGTTCTGACCTCTCCCCATTTACCATAATAATTGCGGAGGGCTTCCTGTATAATTTTCCTATCCACTCTCTCATTCTAACTCCAATCCCCAGGGCTTCCAGAGTATTCATCATGAAGCCCCAGTCAACTCTATCGAATGCCTTTTAGGCATCGACTGAAAGCACTACCACCGGAGCTTTTCCTTTTATAAATGAGCATCAGGGTTCTCAACCCATTGTCTCTACCCTCCCTCCCTGGGACAAAGCCCACCTGATCCCCATGTATCCATTCAGGCATTAGTTCTTTCAACCTATTTGCTAAAACATTTGCGTATAACTTAGTATCTGTGTTCAATAATGAAATTGGTCTATAACTAGAGCACTGAGAAGCATCTTTTCCTTCCTTATGAATAAGTACCACATGGGCCTGTAGAGATTCTCTCCTCACATCCATCCCACCTCCCAAGGCATTCATATATCTCAACTTAGGTATTAATAATTCACTGTATTTTTTATAGTACCTCACGGTGTAATCATCTGGTCCTGGACTTTTCCCCATCACTGTACTTTTTAGTGCTACTTTTATTTCTTCCCGTGTAATTTCTGCATCTAAGGAATTCAATTGTGCTTCGCTTAATTTAGGTAGGCCCACATTTTTTAGATATGTCTTCCTTTTTTCAATATTCACAGTTTCAGTATTATTTAAAGAATCCTGGGGACTGATTTTATACAACTTTCTATAGTACTCCGTAAACACTTTAACGATCTCTTTAGTTGAATGGACCAATTCCCCCTTGGGGCTTTTTATTTTTTCTATATAGTTCCTGTTTTTCTTTTTCCTCAGGGCTCTCATTAAATATTTTCCTGGTCTATCTCCCCATCTATATCTCTCACTTAACACTTTGTTATAGACTCTTCTCCTCTCCTCTTCCATCAAAGTCTCTAGTTCTTCTTTCTTATTTATTACCTTCTGCCTTGTTTCTTTTGGTATTTTATTCTTGTGTATCTGTTCCAGGTCAAATATTTCTTTTAGGAGCCCACTAATTTTCTCTCCTTTCTTTTTTCTTTTTTGCCCCAATCGCGATCATGATTCCTCTTATATATACCTTATGGGACTGCCACACTGTAGCTATCGACACATCCGCTGTCTCATTCGCCTTAAAATATCGCTTAATCTCTTCCCCAATCTTCTGAGCAGTATCTTTATCCAGGAGAAGTGCCTCATTCAACTTCCATCCTAAGCCACCTGTCCACCGCCTTCCCCATCCCATTTTCATTATAACAGGGGCGTGGTCCGAAAGAGACATTGCTTCTATTTCTACTTTAACCAGAAACTCAATAAGTCGGTGATCTATTAATATATAATCCAGTCTCCAGTATATCTCATGTGCATTTGAGAGAAGGTATAGTCTCTATCATTCATATGCATAATTCTCCAGATGTCCACTAATTGGCACTTGTGGATCACCTTTTTCAGTAATCTCAAAGACCTACTCCACTCCCTCTACACAGAAGAGGTTGCATCCTTTTGTGGGTCCACACAAAAATTGAAATCTCCCGCTAATATCAAACGGCCTTTTTTAAAGTCCATCAATCTTTTCAGCACACCCTTCAAAAATATCTCCGGCTTCTTATTTGGGCAATAAATATTGGCTATTGTACACTCAATTTCTTGTAGTTTAAGAATACATTGACACCTGTAGAAGATCACATACCCAATACACTTTAAACAAGGTGCGGGAATCATGTATGGAGCGTGGGTTTCCCGCACTGTGTTCTAGTTTGAACGCGCCCTTACATAACAGATCTCCTTCACATCACCGTCCCACTCCCCTTTACATCACAGTCCCCCCTTTACAGCAGTTGAACAGTGTCCTCAGTTCCCCTTCATGTCACAGCCCACCTTTACATTGCAGTCCACCTTGCAATCACATACCCTGATATGTGCCTGCTGCACCATATACTTATTCCTGCCAGTCCCCCTGCTTTCCTATTAAAAACTGACCCCACTAAGAAAGAGTCAGTTCTCTAGCTGTGCTGCTCTCCTCCAATGATCAGACTTGTCCTGACACAGCCTTTCACTAGGGAGTTCAGGTTACTGCAGTTTCTCTTACCCTAGCTCTTAGCGTTAATGTATGTGTACTAGAATGAAAATTCAGGACTCCTGAAGACAGCTACGAAATTCACAAAAACATGATGCCTATTTTACTGGCAAAATAGAATGTTTACTTCAAGACAGCATTAATACATGCATCACATGAATTTACTGCAAGTACATTATATTTACTGCACATGCTATTTTATCCATTTATAAGGTATTTTGTACATAAAGGTCAGTTCACAATGATGAATTACACATGTTACTGCTCTTTAAAATACTGTTAGTGATAAAGGAGTTGCTACTTTGAGGTCTTAATTGAGCATAACAGCAAAAATGACTTCATATGAAAACCATCATAAATTTAAGCAATGTTTCTCTTGTGAAAGAACTGAAAAGAGGACAAACTATTGAAAAGCATAGTGATCTGGACAACATATTAATTAAGATAGATTGCAAATCTATATTAAGCAACTGAATTTATTTCTAACGATTATCAGATACATATTTTCAGAAAGGAACATTCAATAATTAATTACATTCTAAAAAAATAATAAGATGAAAGAATTTCTCATGACAGACAAATCAGATTGTGAGTGTCTGATAACACCCTGCTAATTTTGGTTACTTTTGCAGTTATGGCTTCTAAAACCTTTGAATCTCCTGGTACAAAAAAATAAATAAATCAATAATCAGGAACAGAACAGTGTTCTGGAAGCAAATATCTACTTTTTATCTACAGAGCACAGGATTCCAAGGTGTAAGAATGCCTTTGTTCCTCATAGCAGGACTGAAAACAAAAGCTTAGTAGTATAGATTCTACATGGACAATTAGCAGCCAAGCAGCTACATGCATTCTCTTTTTAGCTATGTATCAATATATTTATTACATTAGATAATGGAAAATCATTGCATATTGTGGGAGGCTAACATCAGAAGGCTTTGTTCTTACCCATAGTTCGTCCGTGAAAACCACCCATAAATGATAAAATGCTGTAGTCAGGGCATCCTGGATACTAGATAAGAAAATAAAACAGTGGAGTTAATTCCCGTGTTATTGGACAGTATAGACAGAAGGTCACTTTAATATAAACCAAACATGTTATTACTGCAAACATTTGTTCTATATACAATTACATACAGTAGATTGGTTAACACACAGTTAGTAGGTTAACACCTAGTTGGTAGGTATATTAGGTATGCCACATAAATATCTCCCTCAAAGGTGATCCTTATGCCGCAATTCTTGTACTTATTGCACAACGCACCAACTGTGATCCCACAAAAAAATTTTTGATTTGTGAATTCCATCTTCTGTTCCCTCCTATGGAATGAATATTTTCCCAGGGTCCCACTGGAACAACTCCATCGCCCCAAGGATGATGGTGACCTTGCCCCGGTGGACTCTACCAAAGATGCGTAGCTGATGCAGCCCTCCTCAAATGGGGGAATCCAATAGGAACTACAAAACTTCTGTTTGCGCCCTCCAGTTGGTTCTTTTTGTAGTTACCTGGTGGGCTGCATGGCGTCCTTAGCAGAACCCGATCCCCCATGTTTAAGTTCCAGAACCCAGATTGTCTCCTTTATACACAGGGACTCAATCCTGGAGGCACTTGAATCTCAGGCTTTTAATAAACCTAATACAAGGTTTTCCCACTGATCACTAATCTTATGCAAAAATTGTGGAATAAGGCCAGGCACCTGCAGAAAGTTACTGACTTTACCAAATACAGTCCAATCTGCTGTAACACCTCTTATGTAGAGTTAGCCAAACTGCAACAGGGTGCTAGATGGAAAGGTTTTGAGGTTACCCACTTGTACCATATTTTCAAAGAGGGGATTCTGTTATCTTTTTCTGAGTTGGAAACTACATTTGCTTTTGCCTTTGCCTCTGTACTATAATTATGTGTAACTATATCATTCTATTAGGGTGCAGGGGGACGCACCTGAATGGTGCCAATCCCCTACACTGCTCTTTAACGTGATTTCTACTTCTGAGTCCTCCAAAGGCTTTATCTCACAATGCTAATCTATGCTTCTGCCCGAGTACCTTAAGAAATACTCCATGAGAGCCCTGATACAATGGAAAAAAGGATCTAGGCCTATGTCAGGAGATCAATGGGATGAAATGAAAGGGTGAAAAAAGAAAAGGGAAAGAAAATAAAAAAAAAAAAAAAAGGGAGGGGGATTTATGATTCTGGGGATGGGAAGTAGTACTCACTGGAATGGGTTCCTGACGTTAAGGCCCTCATTAAGAAAACTTAAAGGATAAGGTAACCTTTTAGAAAAAAAATAATAAATGCACGTTTTTTTTCAGGTACAAAAATGTGTATTTAATATTTTTGTCTGCAGGAGCCTGTAAACCATTGCACCAGGAATCAGCAGATCGCTGGTGCCATGCAGATCTCCTGCAGATCTGTCAGTATATCTGCTTGCTCGTATGGGATGCACAAGCAAGCACATATACTGAGAGGAAGAATGAATGAACTACCACGGATTCTAATTACTTGTGTATATGAAGAGATATTCACTATTATAATGTGTTAAGTTGAAATATACCTGGTTAACCATGCAGGATTCCAGCTCTTCTTTTGTGGCACTGTTTTGGCCTCTTTCTTTGTTCTGAAATACAGTGATAGAATGAAAAACTCTACAAAAATAACAAACTAAACAACAGCATGTACTTTCCTGAATGGGAACAGGTTAACAAAATGATAAGTGTATTAAAGTGTTACTAAACCCAGGACCCTGCATTCACTATATCTGGTCTCCCACAGTACACTGAACATGGAAAAGCAATTATTTTAGTAAATATAAACTGCTAAATATCTTTTCTCATCAACAGTATATAGCAGTTTCGTGATTTCTATCAATGTCCAGCTGAGCATGTTAAAGCGTGTAGGAGGAGCTTTCATTCTGCTCTAGGAGAATGCAGGACCCCTGACCTCTGTCTGGACAGTGCTGATTGGCACTGTCCAGACAGAGCACTCTCTCAAGAAAAAAAAAACTCTCTAGCAATACACACCAAACTGAGCATGTGTAGGGTGACTCCAAATGATGTGTCTTATCAGGAGATAAGAGGGGGGCACAGGAAGAGGATCAGAGAAGTCAGGATCAAACTGTTTTTACACAATGCAGAAGATTAACCCCTTTAGTTCCACAGTGAGTATAACAAGAATGCTTTACTGCATATACCGACTGATTTTACTGTTACGGGTTTAGTAACACTTTAACTATTCTTGAAGGTGCATGCTCTATGGCTGTTATCTTTATTTTTTTTTTTACTGTTCAGTAAGTCACACTGCCCGAACAAGCATGTTTATATTAAGTGCCACAAGCCAATATGTACATGCTTACTCCAGGACAGTGACTCACTAAGTAATGAAGTAGAGATAAGGATGACATCCCTGGAGAATGCATCTTCAAAGACAAGTCTCAAATTCCAACTTCCGTATTTCAGATAGGTTCCTCTTAATGGCAGATTGGTAAGGGCTCACTTTAGCAAAACCTCTCTGGTTTATCATATTAGAAACCTTGAGGACAGCATTATTCAGTCTCCAGGACATGTCCTTGTTAATTTGTTACTTGGGCTAACTGCCACTGTTCCCACCAAAACGATTTACATTTTTTTTTTAAATGACTTTAGAGCAAAGATTAAGCTAGTTGATCCCTCAGTTATGCTGGCAATAAATAGTCTTCATTTCCATTCAACAGAAGAAATATTTAAATATCTCTCATTTTATTCTTCACATGCACAGATCGAAAGCAGTTCCATATTTCGCTGAATTCCAGGCAAACTGCTAAATACACAGTTATAGCTGCCAAAGGATTTGTATTTCTTTCCAATTCAGTTCTGATATTTACACAGATGTCTTGCAGTGCAGGAGACCTGATGTTTCTCCACTGCAGGTACACCTTACACAAAAATGCAGTCTGCTCATTACATAGTGGTCCCTCCTCACCATGTAAACAAAGCACATTTAACCTGAAAGGGAAAAAACACCTGTGGAAAAAGGTTAGAAAATATATTCATTTTACACCCAGCTTCTGCACTGAAATGGGTGATGTCGCATTTCTTACTACAAGATCCTAGGAAAGTAGAGTATTCCAACTATCATGAGAATTACTCCAGTGTAGAAGCATCTTCTCATGATATTTGGGATCCTCAGTGTTTCCAGGATCTTGCTGAAAAGATTGTGACGTCATTCTCACCTAGGTTCTATGGGTGGAATCTGGGAGTATATACTTATATTTGCCATCTGTTCTTTTCTGGTGTTTTTATTAAATAATGTGTGTGTTTACATTTGCACCACCAAGTAATAATCAGACATTTTATTTAGCGCAAGAGCCACTTTCACAGCTCCGGAAGATTTTACTCCCTTCCTGCCCAGGCCATTTTTTTCTATTCGTCACTGCGCTACTTTAACTGGCAATTGCACGGTCATGCAACACTACGCAAATTAAATTTACATCTTTTTTTCACATAAATAGAACTTTCTTTTGGTATTTGATCACCACTGGGTTTTTTTCTTAATTTTTATATAAATGAAAAAAGACCAAAAAACCCCCCACAATATTTTCTATTTTCTGTTATAAAACAATCCAATAAAAAATAAAAAAAAATCAGATTTATACATAAATGTAGGCCAAATTGTATTTTGCTACATATCTTTGATTAAAAAAATCCCAATACGTGTATATTGTTTAGTCTGTAGGAAAGTTACAGCGTCCAAAAACTATGGGATATACACAGTAGTATTTGAAAATTGATCAATTTTGATGTACTGACGGCCGATATAATTTCTTGAGGCCCTTAAAATGCCAGGACAGTACAAATACCCCCCCTTTTGTAAAGTAGAGATTCTGAGGTATTTAGTAAGAGGCATGGCAAGTTTTTTGAAGCTGTAATTTTTTGTCACAATTTTTTGGAAAATGAAGAGAAATTAAATAAAGTTTTTTCACAATTTTTTTTTTTTGCACACCGTCACCAGCGCAGTACAGAGTTGTAAAATGACAGGTGTGGTGGTGACATGGGACACTTACTAGTTAAAAAAAAACTAAAAGAAAAAAAAAAGTTAAATAGGTTTTTTCTTTAATTTTATTACATATTTTTTTTTCACTTTTTAAATTTTTAAAAAAATACTTTCATCAGAGTAGTTCAGTGTCACAATAGTAACAAAGTACTACTCTGGGGGGCGATCAGGGATTTTTTTTCTTTTTACACTCTGAATGCTGTTTTGAACAGTCATGAATGGGTTACATTCATGACAGCTGTAATTACTACTGATCTGTGATTGGCTACAACTAATCACATAGTACAGGGTGCTGCGATTGGCCCAGGTACCTTATGATCACAGCTAATTGGCAATGGAAGCAAAGCTGTTATAAATTACATTCACTCGTAACATCTTTGCTGACATTGTGATCGCTATGCGATCACATGATCCCAGGGCCCGGTACCATGAGACACAAATTCGCTGTGTTTGGTCTGTGCCCCCTTGAGTCTGTACAGGCAAAAGGAGCTATATATACGTAATTTTGCATGTACATGCTGCCCCACCCATAGAGGTGCCTTACAGGCCCCTTCAACATGGGGCCCAGTCGCAAATGTGACTCCCGCGACCGCTATAGTTATACCACTGGTGAGGTGCTGGATTGCCTCCCACTGAGCTGCGCTGGAAAAAAGTATAACCTGCCATACTTTTTCCAGTACACACCACCACAACACAGTGGCGTGAACCAGCTAGGTAGGAGAGAAAGCATCTAGGCTTGTCTTGCGGTGAGACTGCCAAGAGGAAAACAGAGGGGGTCGCTTCTTCTATATGCCACCCCTCCTATCCAGATGTAGATAGGTGTGACAGAGGAGCCTCGATGGCCGCTGCAGCATAGGGCCCGGTCACAAATGCGACTCCTGCGACCCCTATAGTTACGCCACTAGCAAGGTGGTGGATTGCCTCCCTGTCAGGGCAGGAGCTGTGGAACGGACAGGCAGGCCTAATGGCAGGGTCACGCACCGACTGACGACAACCACCACCCACAGACCGGAGTCCCTCAGGGTGCGGAGTCTAAGTTCCAGGCTGCCCTTCCCCAGGGCCCCTGATGGTGGGGATGGACTTGACGCAGCCAGGGACCAGGTCGCGGCCCCCCGAGACAACCCAGCTGTGGTAATGGCCGCCGTCAATAGCTGGTAAGAACCAGAAGACAATAGCGTAGTCGGGCAGGCCGGGTCAATAACAACGGGACAGACAGTACAGAACGGTAGACAAGAATAACAGGTCACAAGCTGGGTTCAGCAACCGGAGGTCAGCTAAAAGGATAATGCAGAGAATAGTCTAGTCAAAAGCTGAGTCAGTTTCCAGGAAAGCCACGAGAGTAGAAACAGAGCTTGTTGCAACACAAACATACAAGACACGAATGCAAAGGGCACGTGCGGACAACAGGCTTATATGTGATCAACCACACCCCTCTGGGGGATGGACCGCAGAGGCCTGAAGGCATAAAAGACTCCCACCATGCTCTGCAGAAATCCAAGATGGATGCCAGCACATGGAGCAGCATAACCTCTGGGAAAAGGTAGGACCTTGACACTCCCACTGTGCTGCACTGGAAAAAAGTACGGCCTGCCGTACTTTTTCCAGTACACACAACCACAGCACAGTGGCGTGAACCAGCTAGGTAGGAAACAAAGCATTTTGGCTTGTCTTGCGGCGAAACTGCACTGGAGTATCCACCCAACGCAGCCCCACCGCTCCTGGTATGAAAAGGCCCTTAGTAATACTTACAGATTTTTCCCTTTCCTAGTTTGTGACTATAGAGTAAAAAGTGAAGCAGCATACCGATGAGCTTATTTATCTGTCACTCTACCCTCTCCTCCTATCAGCATGTTTCTCAATAGCAGATGAACACAGAAGCCCAACTGAATGGCTACTTGCACTGTTACTAGTTTCTCAGTCTGAGCTTTGCTGTACATTGTGATTGCAATAGGCGGGCACAAAGTCAAACTTAGGTACTTATACAGCTTGCAATAAACAAAATATGAATTCAATAGCTGCGTTAATGTGTGTCCTTTATATCTGCCTAGAGTTCAGATTTAAATTTGGTGTCATTAGTCAAGGTAAATTTTCTGTCATTCCGAAAGCCAGAGACCATTCATATAATTTGAATAAGGAGTAGTTGGCCATGTAACTTTAGCAAACCTTGTCAATACAAATGACTAAACTAATATTGGAAAACCACTCTAAAACTTAATATAGAGTCCTCTGTTTGTAAAAAACAAGTTAGATGAACTGGCAAATAATGCATTCGTCAAAAAGTGTTCTAAACAACTGGACAGAGTAATAAAAATGATAACATGAAAGTGCTATAATTCCTAACCAAGTGAAGTGTTGAAGATCATGAATATTCTGTGAACCCCCCCCCCCCCCCCCACAATATGAGAACCAAAAAGATAATAAAAGAGCTGTAACAATAGGTAAAAAAAGGTAAAATAGGTTAAAAAAACTCTACCATGCTATACACCTTGAACAGGTACCAGAAATGACACCTATACTAATATAAGGAATGAACCTCAGATCACCAACTTGTTTTATACTTAGATGGGAATTAACTGCTGATTATAGTGAGAGTGCTCCGCCGAAACCTCTGCAAGTACTACAGGCAGACACTGCCATCCTAATAAAGTGCTATAGTCGGAAAAGGTCAGATTTTATCCATCCTTTACTTCCTGTTCCACCACTGGTTAAATAGCAATCTTATAGCTCAAAACATGGAAGAGTTTGCACTTACTCTGTACCACATGAATATCGATTTAAAAGCATTTTCATTTGAGCATGATCCACAGGACATTGTAACTATTTGGCCCAAACCCTTTGGTCCAACCTATAAGTGAAAAATACCAAGGAAAAGAGAAAGTATTTTACATGTCATTTTTAACAAAAATATAAAATAAACCAGCACATGAAATCCACAAATGGTGATAAAATATGGGCCTGTTTAAAAAAAAAAAAACATGTATTTTGTACAGGTATACAAGTATGGGTTTAAATTTGTATCATTTTCAAGAGTATGTTTGACAATGTTAATGTTACATAGCAGAATATAAAATTGGCAAGCTTAAAGAAGCCAACTTAACATTGAAGGATACCATAACAAAACGTAGTTCAACATAAATGGACCTGGACACTGAATTAGCAGATAACATAGAAGAGTTAATAAACAAAAAAAGGTGTGATTCATATTCCAGGGGTCAATAAATAAAGGTTGGGTTTAGGAACTGAGACAAACTACAGATTTTTTTGTTTATAAAATAAACTTATGCAGTTCCTTTCTCACAGCTGCAGTGCCTTTATGAGAACAACATGGATGACAGATGAGCTTTTTGTACTTACAGATAACAAGGATTCCTCCAGTTTCTCGGTGAAATTCTCAGGGGGTAAAATGCCTAGAGCTGGTCTGTTGACAAACGTGCTCTGAAAGAATGAAACCGCTGTAAATATTAGCTGACAATGATCATGTGTTGTTCTTACCAGTTACATTTACCATTCTAAGTTTACAATTATAGCAAGAACAAACCTAAATCATCACCTGTTTACATAAATGTGCTGCTACTAACATTTAAAAATATGTAAGCAGAGCTTTTAGGATCTAACACAGATTAGTTTCTTGACATAGAAGAGCTTAATTTGAGCACATAGTTAAAAGTATTCCATTATTAACCACTTGCCCTCCTGAGGATTTACCCCCCTTAATGACCAGGCCTCTTTTTGCTACTCGGAACGGCACTAATTCAACTGATAATTGCGCGGTCATGCAATGCTGCACCCAAGCAAAATTTACTTCCTTTTTTTCACACAAATAGAGCTTTCTTTCGTTGGTATTTGATCACCTGTGTGCTTTTTATTTTTCACGCTATAAACAAAAAAAGACCAAACATTTTGAAGAAAAACGATTTTTTTTACTTTCAGCTATAAAAAATATATAGTAAACTCAAAGTTAGTTATAAATTTAGGCCAGAATGTATTCTGCTACGTTTTTGGTAAAAAAAAATCCCAATAAGTGTATATTGATTGCTTTGTGTGAAAGTTATAGCGTCTACAAACTATGGTATAGATACTGCAATTTACGCCATTTTTTTGGTATACAGCGCTGCACTAGTTTAACGGACAATTGCACGGTCATGCAATACGGTACATAAATGAAATTGACATCTTTTTTTCCCACAAATTGAGCTTTCTTTCAGTGGTATTTGATCGCCTGTGCGGTTTTTATTTTTTTCGCTATAAAAAAAAAAGGCTGACAATTTTGAGGAAAAAAAAAACAATATTTTGGACTTTTGCTATAAAACATGTCCAGTAAAAAAAAATGTAAAAATCAAATTTAGTCATAAATTTCTGCGACATGTCTTTGCTACAAAAAACCCCAATACGTGTAAATTATTTGGTTTACGTGAAAGTTATAGCGTTTACAAATGGCGGGAAAGATACTGGGATTTTTAATTTTTTTTAATACTAATAATGGCGGCGATCAGCGACGATCAGTGACTTATGGCGGTGATCAGCGACGTATGGCGGGACTGCGGCGGACATTCTGACACTGGGGGGAACTGACTTGGGGTCACTGACATCCCCAATACAGTGATCAGTGCAAAAAAAAAACACTGACACTGTACTAATGGCACTGGGGAGGAAGGGGTTAACTTTATTATTCAGTGAAAGGGTTAACTGTGTGAGGGGAGTGTTTTACTAGGGGGTGGGGGGGGGTGTGTGCTGGATGGAGACACACTGATCCCGACAGATAAACTCTTCTGTCCCGATCAGCGTGTCAGGAGCTGTCAGGGAACTGACAGAAAGCACAGCTACTGCAGCTGTGCTCTCTGTCACTGATTACCACTAATTGCCGGTAATGACCGGCTGTGACCCAGCGACTGACATCCGCGGCCATGATCGGCGGGACAGGTAGGGCGGCGGCGTGCCTCGCGCGCGCCCCCTACCTGTTTTGAAAACACACGTTTTAAAACGTGGTTTTGCCCAGCTGTGCCGCCCTGCTGCCGTATTTCTACAGTGGCTGGGTGGCATGTGGTTAAAACAGATTGATATTCAAATATCGAATTTAGGTACACTGCTTTTAAAATGGAGTTTCAGTCCTTGAAATGCCTACAGGGAGCCCAGTCTGTCCATATGCTTAGGATGACATTTTTGATCGATAGCAGACACACACACATTCAGATTACTACCTCTACAGCAGCTGCTCTACATACTCTCAAGCCCTGAAGAAGGGAGATTTTTTTTAGACTCTCTAAATGCATAGGTTACCAAGTTTTAATAAATTAAATTATTTGCACCTAACCATCTCATCGAGTAGTCCCTGTAGTGTTCCACTTTTTTCAAAACTTCAAGTTTATACCAACGTCCTGTAGCTGGTAGAGGACAACTATGGTCTACAGCCATTCACAACCAGGGTTCCTCCAGAGGTTACTAGAGGTCCTTGTGCTGTGGATGATTCACCTCCCATCTGATGGTGCCCGCATAATTCAAGGTCCAAAGCCACTTGGCAGAGCAAACAGCACAACACCAATGATCTTTTTAGCTGTCTGTAAGGGTGGCATTCTGATCACCACTGTCAGGGGTACAGGGGTATTATTTCCTCTGACCCCAATTATTTATTCTTAGCTGGGGTTCCCAGAGCCCTGAAAATTATTTCAAAGTTTCCTCTGTGGTAAAAATATTGGGAAAGGTTGGTCTAGAAGCAGTCTATTTCCTATTTGGGCCTCTCAACATCTGCTGTTCTCCAACATATCAGTCATCAAAAAAGCAGATCTAGCACCACTAGAGACTAACACTTTCTAATGTATCAAAGTATCAGTGCTACATTTATCTGAGCTTCTTCTTTGTTCACCAGCCAGATTTAAGCCTACCTTGGCTAAGTCTGATAGGTGATGTAAGAGCTCATTCAGATTGTAAACTAGTGCTGTCCTCCATGCAGAGCCGCTTGCACGTACGTATGCATCCACCTAGGAGCCACGTGCAGGTAGCCCATGGAAGTGGATGCACATGAAGCACCAGCATGGACACAATTGCATGTCAAAGCTTGACATGTGGGAAGAAGCAGTTGCACAGATCCAAACACACAGCTTCTGCCTGCACGCAGCCCTGAGGTGGATGCACATGCATCTGCCAATGGCTCTGCCTGGAGGACGGCACTGATCTGCCATTTGAATGAGCTCTAAGGCTAGGTTCACAAAAGCCTGTAGTCTGCGGAGTGGTTGTGGGCGCAGAAATCGCACCTGTTCCTGCACCCACAATCACCCTGCTCTTACGAGATGCATGGGGCTGCCATTCATTCTGAATGGCATCCCCCCTCATCTCAGCCCATAGCGTGATTGCGACTGCGGGAACCCAGGGAAACTGCAAAACTATGAGGTTTCCCTGCAGCCGGGTTGTTGAAAAAAATGCATGCATCTTTTTCCTACAGGAAATGTGAGCACAGTAACCCATTCAAATGATGGGCTGTTGCACCTGAGCAAAAGAGGGCCGCACGGCCCGCAATAGTGTGAACTCAGGCTAAGAGATAAGGAGATGGGAAGTTACAAAGCACATTATTCTGGAAGCACACTCACCCACATCACATTCTCTGGAATCTGGTGGCAACCAAAGATTTCCTCACTTTGTCAGAGCCTGGGATCGAACCTGGCCTTCTGCAGTGAGAGGCAATGTTTCTTCTCACTGAGCTACCTGGGATGCTGGACTATACTCTGCCTGATCTATTGGATAATCCTGCCTTGTTTTCTCTTGAACCTTGAAATCCTTGCTCCTCCCATGAACTTCCTATAAAAACCATGTCCATGCACTTCCTCCTTGCCAGATTATTGTGCCTTCCAGCCAATATCCCGCTTCTCTGTCCTGCTGCCATCTACATCTTCGCAACTGACCTTTGGCTTTGTTACTGACTATGATTTTGCCTCATCCTAATCTACTACGATTTGTGACCGACCCTTGGCTTGTGACTGACTCCGCTTTTGTCTGATCCCTTAACTGTTTGATCCGCTGCTGGTTTCCAGCTTGTTCATTCCCTGGTGGGGTGATCCTGAGATCTGCGACCTGGTATTAACACGCAGCCAAATCCATTTCCACCATTAGGAGCTCTGGGGCAAACCGGTAAATACTTAGACCCCGCACCTCAGGGGAGCCGGAGTCTTTCCCAGGGTGATCTGCTGGTGAACCTACCCTGCTGGTTTCAGGTAAGCCTTACACTGCTGTAGCAACTGGTCTCTGAACCTGACCCAGACTGTGATAGAATAATCTGGCCTAAGCATGGAGACCGCTATTGAAAACGTTCAGCAGCAAATTGCTGAGCTGCAGAAATTCGAGGTTACCTATCAAGAAAAAGTTGCCAAATTGGAAAGCATTGTGGATAGGCAACAGGGAGAAATTCAGGCTCTGCAGAGTCAACTGCTGAACCGAGATGATACTAGCTCACATATGCCCCAGCCCAAACCATCTAAGTTTAATGGTGACCGCCGCCACTACAGGGGTTTCCTTAATCAATGTTGCATATATTTCCAAATGTACCCTGCTGCATTTCCTTCAGAGAAAAAGAAGGTAATGTTTATTATTGGGCTTCTGACTGGGGAAGCTCTAGCTTGGGCCTCCCCTTATATAGAGCAAAACCATGGCATGTTGAATGATTTTGATACCTTTTTGAACGCAATGAATCAGGTTTTTGATGATCCAAACCGTTGTGCTACTGCTGAAGCAAAATTGCATACTCTGAGGCAAAGAAGACGCTCGGTCGCTGAATACACAGCCGAGTTCAGAAGCTGGATCGCAGATACCACTTGCAACCCTGCAGCACAAAAAAAAGCCAGTTCCGCCAAGGGCTTTCTGAACAGGTAAAGGATGAGCTTGCCAGAGTAGATATACCTAATGATCTTGAGGAATTCATCGAATTTGTATCCGAATTGATCAAAGACTTACAGAAAGGAGGAAGGAGAGGCTGGGAATGTTTGGAAATAATAAGGGCATGCATCTCTCTGCTAGTCCATTTGTTCAGCAGGATTCAAGAGTCTCTCTGGGTTCTAACACTCCTGAGCCTATGCAGGTCGATGCTATCAAGAGATCCATTTCCATTCAGGAGAAAGAGAGAAGACATTCAGAGAATTTATGTCTATATTGTGGGGATTCTGGTCATTATGCAATTATTGTCCTAACAAAGTTAGAAGAACAATTGCTGTGACTAATGTGATTGCGCCTGAACAAATAAACTCTATAAGTCAGTCTGTCTCCCCACTGATTCCTGAAGAGAATAAAGTGAACTCACTACTCTTTCATTTGGTTATCCCCATTAAACTTGTATCTGAGGGCTGTGAAATCTCCTGCTCAGCTATGCTGGACTCCGGGGCTGGGGGGAACTTTATGGATATAGAGTTTGCCAACAACAATAATATTCAAGCAAGAAATACGTATACCCCTAT